TTTTTTTATTATTATTATTATTATTGATTGATTGATTGATTGATTGATTGATTGATTGATTGATTGATTGATTGATTGATTGATTGATTGATTGATTCGCGGGGAAGGGGTCGCCCTTCCTCCCCCCACATGCATACACACACACATAAACGAAAAAATAAAAATTTCCCTTTTTTTTATTAACTTTCTTTTGATCAAAATACATGTTTTTTGGTTTTTTATTTTTTTAAAAGAAGAAAAAACTTAAAAAAAAAAAAAAAAAATCACCACATTGTAGGTCTCTTCAAACCCTACAACCCCATAATTTTTTATTTTGTTTTTGGCCTATTATTATTATTTTTTTAAATGTCTGAAATTCTCGGCCGCACCCAACTGCGGGTCCAACCTCTGCGGTTGGGATCCCGACCGCTGGCCAAGTTGGACCCCGCGGTCATGACCGCGGGGGATACATAGACGTAGGGTCGAATCAGTGACTCATTCCTTCGGGAACCCCGTTGGCAGCCCCTCCCGCCATCCCGTACATGTGGCCGCCAAAGAGATTATCTTCACCCATCCCCTTCCTTGACTTGCCTTCTCCGTAGTCCTTCTTGGTTGGCTTCTTCCGCGGACTGGCCCGGCTGTGCCTCCACAATTGGCACAATTGCACCAGAATAACGATCAACAAAGCAACAAGGGGGATTGCCAGCAGAGCAGTCTTCCTGAGGAGATCTGCCATGTGCTCATGTGAGGCATGATGGAGACAAGCACAGCACAAGGCGGTTGTGAAAAGTTGAAAACGACAACGCGTATGGGGACACGTGCGGCCATTTACATTGATCGGCCACCACCTCGGGAGCGTTGTGTCCTCCCCTCTCATTCGGAGAATGCCATGAGCTGATCGTTGGCAGGGACGGCGCTGCCGATCTGCACATTTCGAATTCGAATAACCACCAATGGCCATCCGACCCCCGCCGCTTTCGGAACAACGTTTGTGCACTGCCAACGGCTATTGTGCCTCGCAACGGCACTGGAGATACAACTATCGCGTCTCGCCGGTGCCAATGTCCCACCGTACGGGCTGGTCACGAATACACTGGACCAGGAACAACCGTGTGTCGCGAAGAAAAAAAAAAAAAGGACAAGCTCCGTGAATGACGCGCTATGTAGGGCCTCACCCTCACATTTTCAAGTCACCTCCGACGACTCCCTTAAGATTTCCGTCGTTTTGCCTGAAACATGTTATTCGTTAAAATAAGACATTATATTATGTCCTCTTTCGAACGAATTCAGTTTTTGCTACAGCCTAAGCAATGTAGGCATGCCCATCCACTCGGCCCATATGCGGAAGCGTGCTGAGATCCATACTTGTTTATAATTGTGAGGACCAAGTGTGCTGAGATCCGTACTTTTTTAGGATTGTGATGAGCAAGGCGACTTAATTGTATCCTTCTTGGACAAACTCGCTTCCATTATCCCGAAGTAACGTAGGCATGTCCATCCTCTCGGCCGAAACATCTAATACTCATATGGATGTTTAGTGAGATTCCGTCTTCTTTACAATGCTTAGTATAGCGACTGTCCATCCTCCCAGGCAATTGGCCCGCATGCAAAAGTGTGTTGAGATCCATACTTCTTATACTTAAAAACTTAATGAGCTAGGCATTACAACCGGATCGATGTTGGATAACACTTTTATGAAGCACCTTGATTGTCTCCTTGTTGGACAAGGTTGCTTCGGTTATCTTTCAGTAACACAGGTATGTCTATCCTCTCGGCGAGTCGGTTATATGGATTCGGTAGATTCGTGTCTTTAGAAGGCTTAGTATAGCGACAAGCACGGCCAGGCACTTGGCGAACATGCGGAAGTGTGCTGAGATCCATACTTGTTATACTTTAGAAGGCTTAGTATAGCGACAAGCACGCCCAGGCACTTAGCCAACATGCGGAAGTGTGTCGAGATCCATACTTGTTATACTTAAGAAATTTGATGAGCGTGGTGTCCTAACCGAACCCATGGTGAATAATACATTTTCGAATGTCATCGCTATTGCACTTTGTTCAAGTGATGCAATGTATGTTTGATAATATCTGAGTTTTTTTCCCTATGTGATGAAATGCATACAAAGAAGGGGGTTGATTATATTGGCAAGCAACATCTGCACTTGAGCAGGCCATTCACAGAAGTCCCAGACATGAACACGAAGTCATTTGTTAAATGCACTACAGACAATCACAAAGCAAGTGATGGTCGTGTAACGAACGGCACACTGACGCACTTATCGGGAGTTGTTATGCATGTGCACACCAATTTATTATACCGCACAAGAAATTCGAATATCATCTGATTTCAATTGTTATGCACACTGTAGGTTCTTATATGTGAAATTCGGAGAAAAGAACGCAACAAGAATTTGTCCCACCGCACGAGAAAAGATGCAGATGACAAAGTCTACAAATGCCACCATACAAACAGCGACCATCCTAAACAGAACTCGAAATTGAGCGAATAAAAGAGAACGAAGTTGCACTAAGAAAGGCAGTGGAGTAATGTCATGTCTAAGCAAAAACAATCGCCATTGAATGAAATTTAGTCAAAAAAATGTACAGAAGTCATGGAAATCAATCAAAGACAATGGTGTTCCAAAAGACATGTTGCCAATTGCCATCTAATTACAGGTATATCTTCAGAAGAGAACATGAAAGGTGGTCGATCACTGCGTTGCAACAGCGTTGCAAACGTCAACATGAACACCCCACAACTAGCTCCGTCAACTTGTCTCGGAACTCCTTCCACAACAACGTTCCCCGCCATAGACTCCCAACTCCTAGGCAACCAGCCATGTGAGGTATGACGTTCTTAGTACTGTACAATCAACTCGAAAACACTAAGGTAGAAACGCGAATCTGCTATAACGCGAGGATAGGAGTCGAAAATCTCGAAGACATTGTCCCTCAAATTGATGGAAAGGAGGATCCAGTGATCATTGTCTTTGTGCACCGGAACAAAAATCAGATCGAAGTGAAGCAGATCTACATTCTTAGCCCACCTTTCCACCCCACCGTGTCCATGAAGTTGCAGCTTACTGAAGAAGAAATAACTGAAGCTGAAGACTGGAAGGCCTGATGATGTTTGACGTGTTATGCATGCAGTCGACCCCAAAAGCGCCATGTAGAAATTCACCACCTCATCGTTGAGCTTCCCATCGACAAGCAAGACGGTGAGCAGATCTTTAGCTTTGATTCCCACTTGACCATCACCGAAAGTAGATAGAACATGATGAGGTGGTACCAAGCCTCAGGATATGTCACCCATAACCGTCAAGACTCGAGGCGCAATCGCGTTATCGAAAATCCCCCCGCAGGCTCCACGTGCTCTGCCGCCAACTGCACAACATCGACCAATGCACACGCCGGGTTGTGAGAAATAGTGTTCTAAAAATTGTCCCTCATCGCGCGATGCTCTGCTAAGTATTTTTTTTACATGGCCTGACCCCTAGTCACAGATCGCGGATACTTTGAGGCAGAAGGGAAAGACATTCATCAATGGCCACGGCATGGTCCTTCTCCCCAGTCTCGACATCAACCTCTGATGCCTTTAACATATTCTTGTGTCTTGTCGTGAACCCGAGGACTTTCTGCAATATTCGTGTCGGATATTTCGAGAAAATGGAGGACCTCCATTTCCGAGTCGACCCTACCCCTATAAAACAAAAGAAAGACAGAACCCGGAATAAATATACGATTCGATGAAAGTTGAGAAGTAAAATATTGACATAGCCATGCAGATGATGGCCTCTCCAACCAGTGGAGTTTGTCATCACGTGGTCGGGTTCAGCGAGGACCATGTGAGCCTTTGGACACGAAGACGAGGAGCGCAGTCGAGCCTGAGACCCCTGCACAACGCGAAGCAAGAAAACTTAAGGCCAATCAGCATGGAAGCCGGTAAACGACGAAGTTCGGATTCCGGCGGACTAGAAGCCACTAAGCGCAGACACCGACCAACCACGTCCGGCCCTGACACTGGAAGCGAGGATACCGCCGCATTAAAAAGATTGGACCACCGAAAGGTCTGTGTTTTATACACCGCCGGCGTCGTCACGACCAGTGTCGGCGGGAGACGGAAAGCCGACACTTGCGCATGTGCGGATGCCGGCGGAGTGTCAGAGAGTAAGTACATCACACACCCACAATAGAAGCGAGGACACCGGCGGACTTAAACAACCAGCAGATAGAAGGGTTGTTTTATCTTCTCGGCAGGGGTTGTTTGGTCCGCCAGTATCCGCACTTGTATTGCGGAAGGGTGTCAGTCTCTGTGTGCCGGTCGCGGATGAAAGTCCGCCGGAATCCGTACTTAACCATGTGCCAGCTCTCCTTATGTCGTTGACAATGGTAGTGCGGATACCGGCGGACCACAACGACCTGTCCTGCCAACGAAAGAATAGCACACTTCAGACGACGAGGACAAGGCAGGTGTGTCATACCGAAAGGACCCAATGTTGTAGTCCGCCGATATCCGCACTTGCTGTGCCGAGGCCAACACCGGTTGATCTGTGTGTGCCCCTCAGGGCTCGAATTTTGGCGCAGCGAGAACTGCGCCAGTGTCGACAATCCTCTTCTGTGGCCGCACAGACCTCCGTCTTCGCTACCGTCCATGGGAAGGCAGAACTTGTCCTCTCGTCAACGACAGGATGGCCGACTGACATCGTTGGCACTCTAGAGACGTAAACGTGCACACGTGGCGAAGATCATTAACGCTTACCAGCCGGTTTCTCCCTCCGTTCCTTCATCGGCGACAGGGGCGCGGGTAAGGCAAGCACCGCGAGAGGCTGAGTGGCCACCCTGCTTTTTTTCGGGGACGTCAGATGCTGGCAGCCGGCAACCCCACCACCCGCTGCGCCAGGGAAGGTGTCCGCTAGTGTCGGAGAGCAGGGCGACGGGGCCTCCAAGTCAGCGCCCAAGGAATGATCGGTGTCGACGCGCCCGACGGTATTTGTAGGCGGGGACGGAGTTGATTCGGCCTGTTGTTCGCGGATTTTGCAATCAGTGACGTCGCTGACGTCCATTCAATGAGTCGTTTTCGTCCGGCCCACTGCCATGGCGACCTCGTTGCACACGTCCCGGAGATGCACTGCCGCCGCCAGCGGGTGCACGTCACAGGCATCCGGGTCTGCGGAAAGGCCAATGCCCACCTGAGTCTCTATTTCCATCGTCGTCCCTTCGTCGTCAACGTCACCTCCGCGTTGCATCGTGTACAAGTGTCCGAACGAGTCAGACGACTCACCGCAGGCAGCTCTCCACCCCCCGACCGTTCGTCCTCCCCTTCCGCTCCTTCCCCACCTTCTTTCCATTCAAGTTCTTCTTGGCCGTCCTCCACTTGTACCCATTCCTCCCCCCCATCCCTCTCGCGCATATCAGCTCCTCCCACCGGCCCCTCGTTGACTCCCGTCAACAAGTCCTCTGCCTCCGCACACGTCTCATCTTCCGCCCGCCCGATGACCTCTGATTGTAGGTCCGTTCCCCAGCAAGTTCGGATACCGGCAGAGTTAAAATTGCAGAGCACAGACGGCGCCCCGCTATCCAACCGTGCATTGAACTCTGCAGGCTGCCCATCTCCGACGGTCGATGCAGTCCCCTGCCTCATAGGAAAGTCGAGGGACGTCGCCCTGGACGAAACCGAAGTGCGGATTCCGGCGGACTTCGTTTTGGCACCCATTTCCGACACTTCTGCTCCTGTGGCGCTGCGCAGGACGGGCTCCCCATCGTGTGCCTCAGGAGGCTTCGTCCGGATGGCGGCGGACTTATACTTGACGCCGGTGATCGGAACACCGGCACTCGAGCCTCTCCCAGTGCCAACGGAAGCGGCGAATTCAGTCGTCGAGGGGAGGGCCGACCAATGTGTAGCGGATGCAGCGCGGACGCCGGCAGACTTCGCAGCGTCCAAAGGCGGCGGCTCCACGTTCTTAGAAGTTCGGATGTCGGTGAACTTAGCCGATTTGCTGGCCCCGACAGTCGTCTTGTCAGCAACGTTCAACAACCGGACCCGGCCGCCGCTTTCCACTGTTCTGCCCTGGTCGTGAGTGCCAACCGATCCCCCTGACGCGGCGCCCTCTCTTGTCCCCTTGCTGCTTCCCCCACCCCCTCCACCACCCGGAGGGCCTGGAGGTCCCCCTCCTGCACTCCCTAGCGACCCCGTCGCAGGGGGGACCTTCCAGTCCACGCTTCCCTTCGAAGGGCTCGTATCGAGGTCGTAAAACTCGTCCGAGAGTTCCAACCACCCCTTGTCTTGAAGCTCCAGAAACAAAAGATCAGCGTGTTCAACGACGGTCGGGTCGGTGGCCTGGAGAAGGGGGTTCTCTGACGCCACTTTATCTGCCACACCACTGCTTGCGAGTTGCAAGTACTCGGACTTGGGAAGCCGCGAGCATGACTCCCACTGCCCAACCGAGTCCACGACGGCCATGATCCACTCCCCTTCGCGGATTGCAGGCTGGATCGTTCTCGGGTGCCAAATTATGTCGTGACCCCAGTCTGCTTCACTGGAACGAGTGTGGTCGTGCCCTTCAAAGTGAATGGACTCATCCTTCCAAGAAGGATGTTCCGGCGGGACTGCACTCCCTGGACGCAAACGAGGCGGGGCAACAGTACGGGGTGTGACTTTCGCCAACAGCTTGTTGGGGGTCTTACCGGGGGTGGACCTGCGAACGGGCGTCGCTGGAGTGGCCTGGGTTGACGATGCACCTCCCGTCGAGGAGCCCGGGGGCGGAAGAACAGGAGCAGGGAGGTAATTCAGGGCGATTTCCTCGGTGTCGCTATCCTCCTCCGGAATAGTCGTGTCGAAAACGACTTCGGTCGTTGCCTCTTCGTCCGTGTCAATCAATGCACTGTAACTCGCGACCCGGAGCTCCTGCTCCGACTCGACAAAGTACAAACAATCCAGCCGGTCCAGGAAGTTCTTCGCATTCAAACGCGAGGCGCCGTGGTAGTTGTCCAGCAACGCCAACATGTGCTCCCTGCGTCGAGTATACTCAGGGTCACTGTCCCTCCTGGGTCGCGTCTCCAGGAAGAGGAACTCATATATCCTGTCCCTTTTCCTCTCGCTTAGTTTGAACCACATGTCCGTGGACGACTCCCAAGCGCGTCGCGGTTTGTCCGTCCTCGAAATGAACTCGCAGCGGTGGGCTCCCGAGTTGACCGCGCCTTTCAGGAAATCCAACGTGTATTGCAGCAACTCCGAATTCCCCTCCAACGCGATGACGTTGCGACCGCCCTTCAAAGCCTCCCACACGACTTGCGMGTGCGCCTTCYCGAGAAACATGACACCCTYCCCCTTTTYGCACACGAATTCCAGCAGATGGGCCAACTGCGCGGGGTTCCGTTCCATGTCCTTGTAAACTTTGCGGTCACGGCCAGGTATGACCAGGGGCCATTCACAAGGCTCAAACGACACCTCCGAGATGTCCGTCGGTGTGACTTTAACATGTGCCCCCACAGCAGCAGCATCACCCGCCTCCAACCTCGCATCGTAAACGACAGAGGTGTTCTCGCGCAAGTCGTCACCTTTGAAGAGGATGTACATGCGGTCGTCCACTGAGTACAAGTTGTTGCCGACCGCGAAACTTTTCTTCTGCTGCGGCCTCCTTACCCACTTTCCTGCCATTGCCTTGACAACGGACATATGGCGCAGACTGGTCATGAAGTAGTAGTCGTGCTCCCGGGGGACGAAAGCAACGACCGTCCAGTGCGAAGAGAACAAATGTTGTAGAAGGGCATTCAAACTCTCGAAAGCTTGCTGTGTCCACTGTGTGATGTCCACAGGCTCGCACAAATCAAGAACGGCAGTGTGGCATTTCGTGATCCCAACCGCTTTCTCCAACTCGACGACCTTCATCTGCGCCTCCAGAGGATCGACGCCGAAGGGGGTGATGGATGTCACATCCCCCGAGTCCTGCCACCGAATATGCACCATGCCTTCGGCGAGCGCGACATCCATGCTCTTCGACCTGCTGCCGGTCAGCACGGAAAGGACCTTGTTCTTCCAGTCGATGGACAACTTCTTGTTGAGAGCAAGTTTTTCCGTCGCCTTGATCGACTTGTCGTCCTCGCAGCCCATGAACGGGGGACAGTCTCTGAACAACGATGAGTCTCCAACGAGTTTCCTGCTTCCGTCCCACAATGCTGCATCCAGTCCCTGACTTTTGAACTGCGCCAAAATCGCCTTTCTTTTCTGCAGGAAGGGATACGAACGCGTCCAGTCGGAGTCGGGCAGATTCTCATACTTGAACTGGTAGTAGTTCCATAACCGCACCAAGATGCGGTCGCACTTCACCAGATGCACTGCCTCTTGCATGCCCAACTTCCCTTGCTTTGCCAACGCAGAGGAGCCGGTCTGCACCCACACCACCTCGCAGTTGAGAACCTTCTTCAGCAGCCGACATTTCTTATTGTCCGTGAGGGCTTCCATGCTTTTCCAGCAGTGCGGATCCGGCTCGTTGACTTGGACGAACCAGTCACCGGATTTCTTTTCTTTTTTTCCTTTCTTTTGAGGCGCTTCGACAGGGATGTTGTAGACGACCTCCTTTCGCCCGGTCTTATCATTCTCGATGTGGCTCACACCGGCCTTGACGCCCTTCACCTTCTTCTTCTTCTCGATCCACTTCGCCCCTTCGGGTGCCAGCAGTCTGCCCGTCTCCCATTTCTCAAAAAATTCCATTCCCATTTTCCACACACTCTCCCCGACCATCGCAAGTGCGAAATAAGATCGGAGGGCAGCGTTCTGCTTCCTTATGCCCTGCCCGGTCTTGTCGTCAGCGAGTGTCCACAAATGATTGTACGGCGTCTTTTGAAGCGCATCTTCGCAAAACCGGCGCCAAGACTCCACCTAAGTCTATTTCCCGCTCGGGTTCCCCATAACAGCTCTGGGTAACCCTTTTCCTTCCAGCACCACCGGATGTCCTTTATCGCTTGTTTCTGCTGTCTGGGAGGCGCCTTCAGGTCCTTCTTGTTATCCTCGGCGCTGACCAGAAAATACCCTTCGAAATCCGCGTCGGAGAAGTACACCATTCGCGCAGGCCACCTCTCGAAGTTGTACCTCACCGCCACGTCTGTGCCAAACAGCGTTCTGGCGGCGGCCGCGTTATGCTGGCCGACAACAGCGTAGTAGTAGTATTGGCCCGCCATTTCGTCCTTCCAGTCCTCGAGCTTCAGACGCTGTGCACGCACCCACGGCTTCGGTTTCTCCAACCCCAACGGCCCCAACTTCAGTGTGGGCAGCTCGTAAGTCTTCGAGGCCTGCGAGTAGGCCGTCGTCATCGCGTCGATGATCAGCCGTGTACGCACTGGATCCAAGGAACGCTGGTTGTACCCCGCTTCCCACTCCCCGATGTCGACGACTCGTGACGGATTAACGCGTATCTCGCGCTTTGTGCGCACTCCGTCTTTCCATTCGAGGAAATACGTCGCATCGACGTCGATCAGACCCGTGTGCTGCACAGGGACGGACAGGGGCTTAATCTGCGCTGATGATGGGCGTTTCTGACTCGCAGCGCCCACATGCCCCTCCCCTCCCTTCCTTTTTCCCCCTGACGTCTGCGGGGCCTTTGTCTTCTATTTTTTTTTATGCAGTTGTCGAGTTTCCACGGGAATCTCCCCTTCTCTTTTGCGATGACTGCTGTTCACCCTCTTCTCCACCGGACAAGACGCCAGCAGGCCTCCCCCCCGACCCCATTGTGTGACCCCCGGCTGACGTCGAGGGCCGCTCCTGGACCGGTGTTCTTATCTCAACCCCCGGATTGCTCAGCACCCTACGGTCTCCCCCTCTAACCGGCGAACCCCAGGTCCTCTCCTCTTCTTCCCCCTCGCTGTCGTCGAAGCGACCACGTTCCTCCCCGTGGTGGAGTTGGAATGAAGCACCGGAACCCAAATCTCCTCCCTCGGACGGAGCACCGCTTGACTCGAACAACATAGAATTCGTGAAAACCTAACAAAATAAATTGTTAGGTTTGCACGAAAATTTTTAAAGATTCTGATAATACTTTTTTCAGGCCTCCTACATGAACAAAAGTTTATGTGAAGTAAATTAACCGCAAAAAAGGAATAGAAAACTACTTTTTCAGAAACCACTACAAGTGATGAGGAGAGAAGCAAGTTTTTTTACAAAAAATCAGTACCTTGCAAAGCACTGTTAATTCAGGAACTGAAATATCACAATATTTTGTTTAACTAAAAAATAGTCATATTTATAGTTCTGTAAGGTATGTAGCACGAAGAACCTATTCGGTGGTTTCCCAAACATGCACACATGCTCTCCTATTCACAAATACATTCGCTAGGATATGTTATCTCATACATGGACGAATTTCATTTTTTAATCTTAAATCATCGTTGGCTAGGAATTTGAAGATGTCCCCCGGGCAAAAGTTGTTTTTATACTTCTTTTACACAACATACATTTTTTGACAAGAGTTTTACAGCTAACTTAAAAATGGAGTTATATTAATTGATAGTTCTATAAACTCGATTTCACAGAATCTGATGTTTTTAAGTATTTTTTTATTTTTTAACTTTAAATCATCGTTGGCTAGGAATTTGAAGATGTCTCTCGGGCAAAAGTTGTTTTAATTCTTCTTTTACATAACATGTATTTTTTGACAATGGTTTTACAGTTAACTTAAAAATGAAGTTATATTAATTTATAGTTCTATAAACTCGATTTCGCAGAATCTGGTTTTTACCAAACTGCTGAAAACGGTTTATAGTTCTATAAACGAGTATTCACTGAAACTGATTTTTTTAACATCTTTCGGGTTCGCCTTGTAGTCGTTAAAGGTTGTCTTGTTTGAGCTATGTTTTTTATCAATCTACTGAGAACGACTTATAGTCCTATAACATGCTCTTTGCTGGAAAGAATTTTTTTGCACATTTTGAGAATCGCTAGACTTTTTACCTGTTTTTTTGTCTCCTTTCTTAGGAAACAGTTAAAAACGCTCTCTTTTATGTGTCAAAAATATCAGTTTGACTTTTACTTTTTCATTCTATAAAAAATGTTAGGTTTCGTGGTTTTGTCAGGTTTTTTACGAATCCGGTTTTCGTAGCCGTTCAGGAGCTTCGCGTGTGTGCCCTCCGCTCAGCACAAAAACATCGGCGAAACACTTTTTTTAAAGAAACAACAATTGTGAAGATTTATTTCAAAGTGATTCAGGTCATTTTCCAAATATTTGTCCTTCAGGCATTTCTAAGACCTCGGTTTCAAAGTAGCAATTTCTAGTACTTTTTGACTCGTTCTTGCGGGTTAGAAATGATGTCACAATTCGCCTTTTTCTCTCATCTTTGTGCTTCACGGTTTATAGAACTATAAACAAAATGAAAAATTCCGAAGATGATATGTTTTTTTGCGTTCCAATTTCTAGGACTATAAATATGCAAATGTCAAGATGTCTGACTTCGGTACAAGGGCGCACATTTTCGGAGTGCTTCATGTTTTTTTTTTTCTTGCATGTTTGTGCGTCACGGTTTATAGAACTATAAACGGAATGGAGAATTTCAAAGATGACATGGTTTTTTGTTTTTCAATTTATAGGACTATAAATACGCAAATGTCAAGATGTCTGGCTTCGGTACAAGGGCGCACATTTTTGGAGTGCTTTTTTTTTTTTTTTTTTTTTAAGTGTGTTTTTGCCCCGTGCTTTATAGAACTACAAACGGAATTCGGGATGCCTGAACTGCATCTGTTTTCTGCTTCTTTAATGAAAGGACTCCAAAGGTGCATATGCCAAGACGTCCTGCTTTCGTACAACGCAATACATTTTGGAGTGGTCGTTATCCTGCCTGGGTTTTCTTAACTTTCCTCTAAGTTTGTAAGTGGTATCTAGTATTGTGGAATGAATTGTCATATTTGCTCGTTTTCAGCAGAGCAAAGAATTCATTTCTCGACTACAAGCGGCTTTTGGGATCACTTGTTGACCTGCTTTTGTATGTGATAAAAATGAGGCTCCGTGGACAAGCTTTCATCTCACTAATCACCTTCTTCTAACAGGAGCCTTGATTTGGTATGTTTTTCATCACTAGGTGCGAGATACAACGTGTAAGAGTAGCACCAGCGGAGTGAAAATGAGTGAAAAAATTTTGGTTTTCTCCAGTCTATAAAGATTGTTTGGTTTTCTACGTTTGTTTGGTTTTCATGAATACTCTGTTGAACCCGGTGCTTATCTGCATAGGCTGTGACAGCGCCAGGTCGCATGAGATCTGGAAGGGTTCATCAAGGTGGACGTCTCTCTTTTCCAACAAGTTGAAGAACTTTCTAGCGGAAACAAGACCTTCAGTCGCGAGGTCTGTGTAGAAAGGGGTCCTCAAGGCCCCTGCACCGAACCCCTGGAACAGATCCCACGACAGGGCCGCCCCTTTGGAAGCAGCCACGATGCCGCCCTTCGAATTATAAACCGCGTGCAGCTTGAAATACATCTTGTCGTGGCTCCTAGCCGGTTGCCATCCCTCAACCGAACCAAGCACTCTCCGGCGTCTACTATCTTCCACGAATAGAACCGGACCGCGCGACACTCTCGTGGGGTCGTTCTCATCCCCGCAGCACCAATCAACATACCATTTCCGCGCATATGATCGAACCATGACTTTTTGGTCGTCAATTCCCTTCCCGAGGTCCCGGTAGGCTGTTCCTCGCCCCTTGATGTAGACATTCAGTTTGCACTAGCCCAAACGAACGAAACATCGGGAAACACGGAACGCACAAACAATCAGCACAACAGAGAAGTTCGTATGCCCGCGGACTAGCCATGACGCGGCACAGAAAAACAAAATTCCTGGCGTGTAGTAAACACAACAGTCCCTAAGCGGAGTTGCGTTGCCGTGGAGCGGAGGGTGAAGACGTCCTCCGGACGTCATCGCGTGCACAGCGCCAGGAAATGTTCTAAACAGAGAACAGCTCTCCGCTCGCCCTTGTTGACCGCACGTAAGGGGCAGAATAGCGACGGTGCTCGAATGGAGACCCCTGTGCGAAGTCGGGATAACGGCGAACTTTTGTCGACTAATAAGTGCGCTGCACGGCAGGATGCCCTGACACGAAGAAGGGTCCTTTTGGGGAGTTCCCGCCGGCACATTGTCGGGCGCCATAGTCCTGAACACAAGACGAAGGGGGAGCGACAACGTCGAAGAACGATATGGCTAAGACATTGACGAAGTGCGGATAGAGGCGGACTTCGATATATGCTCAGGATGTGTGGACGCATGGAAGGGGCGGTGGAGAAGTGGTCAGAGACACGTTCTTGAAGAAATATGCCCAACATCCGTAATCAGAAGACGTCGGGGCTCGAGGACCTCGTATCGAAACGGAAGGAACGACGACGTCGCGGTACAAACCGAGGAAGTTCGGATGCCGGCGAACTTCACAAATCGCCCATGACAACCGAGAGGCTCGCAAGGAGTGCGGGCCGCCCGAGCCAGGAGCACCTGCGCACTCAATTGCCATTCAGCATCCCGAAGGACTCCCCGAACAACTGATAACCATTCGGACCCGGCGGGGGGGGGGGGGGGGG